ACCTGACAAAGTAGAAAATTGTCCAGATAAGTCCTGTCTACAAAAATCCAAACCAGCCAAATTACCACTCTATCTATGCATTCTCAATCACCTATAAAGTAATGGAAGGAGTTGCTGACAATACTATTAAGAAGGCCTAGCAAAGGAATAACCTGCTCACTCACACCAAGTTTGGGTTCTACCAGGGCCACTCATCTCCTGACCACATTAAACATTGGTCCAAACATGAACAAAAAGGGGTGATACAAGGAGTGAGTGACTGCTGTTAACAGCAAAAGCAGCATTTGACAGAGACTGATATTGGGAAGCTCTGCAAAACTGAAGTCAGTAGAAATCAATGGAAAAACCAGTGGTTGGCATCTTAGCTAGTACAATGGAAGTTGGTTGTGGTTACTGGAAGTCAATCATCTCACCTTCAGGACATTTCTGCAGGAGTTCCTCAGGGTAGTGTCCGAGGCCCAACCATCTTCAACTGCCTCAATGACCTTCCTGCTATCATGAAGTCAAAAGTGGGGATGTTCGCTGATGACTGCACAATTCATGATTCCTCAGACTGGGAGGCAATCTGCAGCAAACGCTGGATAACATCCAAGCTTAAGCTGACAAGTGGCAAGTATTACTCAGGCTACACTAATACCAGGCAATGACCCATGTCCATCGAGAGAGAATCTAACCATGTGCCCTTGGTGATCAATAGCATGACCATTGCTGAATTCCCCACCATCAATATACTAGGAGTTACCATTAACCACCAAGCTGAACTGAACCAGCCATATAAATACCGTGGCTATAAAACCTACGTCCGAGGCTGGGAATTCTGCAGTGAATAACTTATTTCCAGTCTCCCAATGCCTGTTAACCTTCTGCAAAGGTATAAGTCAGAGTGATAAAATATCCCCGACTCAACTGGATGAGCCCAACACCAATAACACTCAGACAGGTTGCTAACATCAATCCAAAGCAACCCACTTGATTGATAACCATCAATACCACCATCAACACTCACTCCTTCACCACTAATATAAAGTAATAGCAGAATGTACCTTCTACAATATATTCTGCAATAACACACCAAGTCTGCTTTGACAGCACCTTCCAAAACCTGCAACTTCTATCACTTAGAAGGGCAGGGGGCAGAAGAAAAAACACCAAACAGTTATCCCCAAGCCACACACCATACTGACTTGGAAGGAAAACCATTCCTTCGCTGTCACTGGGTCAAACTCCTACAATTCCTTCCCTCACAATACTAGTTGACATGATTCAAGAAGGCAGCATCCAGTGGCGTTCATGTCCCTTAAACAAATTCAAACATTTAGTCAGTCACACTGTAGAAGAGCAGCAACAAAAAAAGTAAAACAGCATTAAATTGGTTATAGTATTGCAAGTTATAAAACAATGCTCAAACACTTAATCAAGGTTTTGGTTTTGCTCATCACAACACAACGGCATCATTGGCGGGGGCGGGGGGGGGGGGCGGGGGGGGGGGGGGGTGGCAGTGGAATTTTTAGTCTAAGATTCAAAAAACACAATGGAATTTTATATTTTATTCATTAATGGCCATCATTTGTTGCACAAACCCAAATGTCCTGGAGAAGTTTGGTGATGAGCTGCTTTCTTAAAATACAGCAATCCATTTGCTACAGGTAGACCCACAATGTTGTTAAGTGAGGGAGCTGCAAATCCAAATATTGTTCCAGTGTCATATCCATTATCCATATTGGTGCAAGGGGCATAGCCTAAAACTCCTGAAAGCAAAATAAGTATATTCAAGTTAGGATTTCAGAATGCACAGTGATCAGCATTTCAGACAGGTAAGCAGACAATTTGAACTCATTCCCCAGGCCAAGTGAGAATGGAAAAAATGTTTTAAAAAGTGGATAAATCAAGAACAAACTACTTTTACCTGGGTCAGTGTGAAGCTGGAGGAACACAGCAGGCCAGGCAGCAGAGGAGCAGGAAAGTCAACATTTCAGGTTGGGAAGGGATGCTGCCTGCCCTGTAATGTTCCTCCAGCTCCACACTGTGTTGACTCTGACTCCAGCACCTGCAGTTCTGGGTATCTTCAACTTCTTTTATCTGCATCAATATAGTTATAATTCAATATTAACTTGCAATTACTCAGCACCTTTAATGTAGCAGAACATCCCAACGTATTTCAATGCAGCATCAAAACAAAATTTGATAGAGCCATGTACAGAACTGGGGAACTCTCCAAAAAGAATGTAAAGTGGCAAAACACGTTCATTAATTGCCTTCCTATCTGGACATTAAAGGTTTAGTTTTTATCATGTCAATGCAGGTAGAAGTTGATAATTGCAGCCTCATGTTATTCAGCTGTTATTGCTTCAGAAGTTGAGACAAGCATTTGTCATTATATCACTGTTGAAGAGAAAAAAATCAGTTCCATCACCCTTGACCTAAAACTGATCCCTCATATTGCCAAAGATATGTTTTTGAACAATATTACACTCAAAAAGGATTCAAAGTACTTCAATTAATCAACTTATTCTCATGTTTCATGTTCATGTCAGTTGTAAATATAAATATCGAAGTAAATGGAGGTTGCATTTTATGCTCCAACATATCTACAACTCAGGTTTTAAAGAAGTACATACTTGAAGACTGTAAGATTGATAACAGTAGCTTGGATTTCAAATGTTGTTCCTGTGTGTACATGTTGCAGTATGGAACTTAGGATGGCATCCTGTAACAACATATCCAAGTTCAAGGGATCCAGCTAAATGTATTCGTAAATATACTCCTGGGCAATAAAAATAATTAAGTGACAGATTGAAATAATCCATTTATCCAAATTAATACTACTTTGGAAATTTAAATGGGTCATTAAATCCTAAATGATTAAACTTATGTTACTTCTATCAGTTAGCTTGATATTAAGTATGTCCAAATGCACTCAAATTCACCATTGAACATCTCCTGTAAAAACAGAAGATTCATTACCAGCAGATATGATGGTAATTTTTTGAACAGTTTTTATGAAGATAAATTGGAAAAAAAATTTTTACTGGTTGGTCAGATGATATCTAGAGAGCATAAACTTAAAAATCAAATGAGAAGGATGAGTTTCTTTTACAAAAAAAAAGTTATCATCAGGAGGATGTTACTTGGAATGCTACCAGGAACAGTGGTGAAAGTAGAATACCTAACAGCTTTTAAAAACAAAAAACAGTCCAACTCGTTTTGAAGCCACGATTGAATTTCTCAGTACTTCATTCTCATGTGATGCATTCCAGATCCTCACTGAATGTTGCATTTGTATTAAAAGAAAGTTTTCACGTTGCCATGACATCTTCTAACACTCAATCTTGATGCCAATGGGAAGTTTCTGATTATCCATTCTGCTCAAACCTTTTGTCATTTTCACCATGTATTTGGTCATCTCTCAGCTTGGCCATTTCTTTAAAAAAAAATTCTGTCCTATGAACACCCATTGTTCCGAATCTCCTATATTCTTAATTTTTTAAAAATATAGTCATTTCTCGTTTGTCTACTTCACACTTCTCTGCACTGAATAGCATTTACTGCTGGTTGTCCCACCAGCCCAAAATCTCAAAAAGTATAACTATTCACACTGTAAAGTTCAGCACATTTTCCAAGTTTTGTGCCATCTGCAAATTTTGAAGTGTCAGAATTCAATTTTCAGCCATAAAACTCATAACCTAAGGACTCAAAAGATGTAACTGCATTAGCAGTTAGTTATAACAATAAATAAAAAAATTGGAAAATTAATCTGGGAATTTTGGATGTTGCCTAGCCAAAAGTTTGGTATCTGAAAAGCATTTGCCTTGTGTATATTTCACTGTACTCAAAGGGTACAGGGTATATATTTTTATTAAGGGCAAGTTACATCAGGTTTTCTTGCTCAAGAAGGGGGTCTGGCAGAAAAATGCTATAAATATTTTCTCAAAAATCTCAAGGCACTCTTAACTCTGCCATAACAGAAAAAAATTTCTTTTTCAGATGGACACCACTCCATGTACTGCTACACTAGTTCCTGAACTATATGTACACAGAACTTAATATTCTGGCTTCACATAAACCAAGACAACGATAGCTAGCATTATTAATATGCAGAGTTAAAGGTACAGATAATTGAAAAACCTTACCAGAACGATTTTATCGCAACTTTCCCTCACAAAGATTGTTCAATTCACAATCAACAGCATACATTTAGATTTTTTAAAAAAAAGAACATCAAAACACCTAAACATCAAGATATTTAAATAAAGGTCATAAATAACTTGGATAAAGAACTTGGCTATTATTTTCTCTGGGTTTAGCCTCATGTCAACCCTTTGAAAGTCACTTCCGCATGGTTGAAACCCTGATTGTATGAGGTCCCATATTAAAGCTTTTCAGCTGTTTAAGAATGAGTACTTGACTATTTCCAGGTCAATGGCCTGAATGAATGTATACAACTTTTATGAAGACATTACCCTTTCATTTACGGGCTTGATAAAGTCCAACTTAGTCCCTATTCGGCACAGGACTTCAGGACAGAAATGTTCTCAATATGGTGTATAGTAACAAGCTAACAAAGGCGATAAAGGAGAGATGGTTTTGGAAGTGCATCAAAAAAAAACTTCAAGTAGAAAGCGTGCTGACGTTTGGGTTATCAGAGAAGCCAGATTTATGTCTGCTCCCAATTGCAGGACCCTGGGCGTTATAAAAGTTGGAAATCAATCCATTCGGTAGCAATGGTGCAAGAAACAGAGACTTTAATCCCGACCAGGATATAAATCCAGGAGCCTGAACTGAACTCGTCTGACTCAGGAATCACTATGCATTTTTCTCTTTTTGTCAATGTCTTTTCTACTTTCCTTTTTCTGTGGCCTTAGTCTTTTTTCTGAACCGATCCCAAATTATTTGTTTCTCTTGTTCCCTTTTTTTGTGCATGACACTATTTAGAAACATCGCACTCCAGTCTCAACCAATGGCAGGAACATCAGAAGTTAGTTGAATGCCGATCAAGGTGGTAATAATATGGAGGCTTTATTCCAGTCAACTGTCAGTCTGGATCTGTGTTTATATGTTCAATAGCCTTGCAATTTATTTCTCCCAAAATCCAAGTTTCTTAGTAGGTTGAAATCACAAAAATATTAGTGCACATTTGTGCCTTTTAAAGATTAAACGGACTATTTTGCACAAGATCTTACTTGATCAAGTGAATAAAAATTTTGACAAAGTGATCACAGTTTAAAAAAAAATTCTCAAAATTGCATTATCTGTATTTTTGAACACTTCCCACTATAACGGGGCAAAAGTCACAAATCAGCCTCCAATACAGCTCAATTATAGAAATATAACAAACTTGTCGTTAATTTTGAGCCATTAGTGCACAAGACAATAGGCTCTGGTGTAACAGTGATCCATGATGCTCATGGTGCCAAAACAGCTCTAAAGATAAATAAACTTTACATTACTATGTCCCTAATTAAATAAAACCTTACTTTTTGTTTTGAAATTAGTCTGAAATAACTTGTAACCACAGGAATTTTATAACCTGGAACACAATGGCTCCCTTAATGAAGCACAAGTTTGAACTGGCAGCGGAAAATATAGGGAGAACCACACTATATTTTTCAGATGCTAATGCATAATATTTATGATAATAGAAGAAAGCTCTCCCTGAGTTTTGTCATGCAATATTGATTTGAGATACATAAACTAATATACACAATTTACTCTGAAAAATCTTCCCTGAATATAAATTGTTAAATGTTTCAAAGATTACAATGCTCAACAGTTTTTTTTATTTCATACATAGAAAACGTATTAGGAGTAGTGTTTGAAATGACAGAACTCCGTAAAATTTTAATGGCAGGTATTCTGGGAAAAATAACAGCATTCCATCCACAAATATTTTCAAGGAATAAATATGCATTTATAAATAGTGTAAATTTACATCAAGATTAGAAACAAAACAAAAAAAAAAATCACAAATCTGAAGTTTATTCCTTAGTCTATGTGCAACCCATTTATCTGTGACTTGGCTGTTTAGTTTAACTAGGAAACCAGAACAAATTTAAACATCGTGGTTTCAAAATAACAAAACAGATGAACATAAAAGCAGTAAAAAAAATCTCTCTCACCTAACTTTTCACATTACAAAATTTTCTTAATAGATGTTGCCCTCAAGAGAGACTTAAAATTCCTAACTACCATACAAAAATGACCAGCTAAGCTAGTACTTTTAAAGGGAAAATTCTGAATGAAAAAAGATGATGAAACCAATTCATCAGCCCAAGACAGAGTAATACAAAAAAAAAGAATGTCTTCAAGTCAGTAGTCTGTGTGATGTTGCCAGTTTTTCTCTGATATATACAAAATATGAAAAGTTATTTATAGGTACAGCTAAAACAGCTTTACATGAATCCATTTATCCTGGAAAAGAAGCAACTCCACTCCTATCCAGTATTGTTGACACTCCGCACTTGGAAGGTTGCATAGACACACAGTTTTCAGTCAGCAGCCACATGGGATAGCCAAATATCAGTGGTGTAACACAGTGGAGGTTGATGTCACATCCTGAACACCAAAGATGTTTCACTAGTTGTCCATTAAACAATATGTGTCAAGATGAGGATGAAGGCAGTGGAGGGGCCTGAAACAGAAGACTTCAAATGAGAACAACCTATTGCACGGCAGTAGTTTTTTTTTTCAGATCCAATGCAAGTGTACTTCGAACAGTATTATTAAAGAACTATCTACAGTCTGAGTTAATACAGACATAACATTTGCAAGTCTAAGAAGTTAACTGTCTTCAAGCAAAGTAGGAATTGGTGGTTTTAAAATCAACCTTAACACACAAGGTAGCAGGATTGGTGGGAGATAATCCTCACAGAAAGGACACGAGGATGAATGGCAGTCATAAGATTAGGCATGGTTCTACTTTCATTACAATACAATATCTAGTCACAGTCCAAACTTGTACACAAAGGGACTTGAGCAATGTAACAATGGAAACATACTTCAAACACAGAATTACTGCCTCCTTAGGACTATAAAACTGGATAAATTTGGCAAGGAAATAAATCATAACGAATTAATTAATCTTCTCCCCATCATTTTTGTGCATTCAAAACACACTTACTTCACTTTCCTGTCTGCAAATGCCAAAAAAGACCATAAGATATAGGAGCAGAATTAGGCCATTTGGCCCACTGAGTCTGCTCCACCACTCAATAATGGCTGATATGTTTCTCAACCCCATTCTCCTGCCTTTTCACCCATAATCCTTGATCCCCTTACTAATCAAGAACCTATCCATGTCTTAAATACATGCAATGACTTGGCCTCCACAACATTCTGCAGCAACGAGTTCCACAGACTCATCACCCTCTGGACAAAGATATTCCTCCTCACCTCAGTTCTAAAGGGTCATCCCTTCACTCTGAGGCGGTGACCATGGGTCCTAGTCTCTCCTTCTTGGAAACAGACCCTTCAGTCCAACTCGTCTATGCTGACCAGAAATTCCAATCTGACCTCGTCCCATTTACCAGCATTTTGCTCAAAACCCTCTAAACCCTTCCTATTCATATACCAATTCAGATGCTGTTTAAATGTTTTAATTGCACCTGTCTCTACCACTTCCTCTGACAGCTCGTTCCATACGCACACCAGCCTCTGTGTGAAAAAGTTACCCGTCAGATCCTTTTTAAATCTTTCCCCCCCTCACCTTAAACCTATGCCCTCTCGGGATAGGGGAAAGACCTTGGCTATTCACCTTATCTATGTCCCTCATTATGTTATAAACCTCTAGAATGTCACCCCTCAGTCTCCACTGCTCCGGGGAAAAAAGCCCCCAGCCTATTCAACTTCCCTCCACAACTCAATTCCTCCATTCCCAGCAACATCCTTGTAAATCTTTTCTGCATCCTCTCAAGTTTAACAACATCTTTCCTATAGAAGGGCGACCAGAATTTTGTATGCAGTATTTTAAAAGCCAGGACACTCAGTATTTTACAGATTTCAATGAGATCCTCCCCCATAGTCCTTCTAAACTCCATCGCGTACAGGCCCAGAGTCCTCGACACCTCCATCATATGACAAGCCCTTCATCCTGAGATCATTCTTGTAAATCTCCTATGGACCTCCTCCAAGGTCAGTACATCCTTCCTTAGATGCGGGGCTCAAAAATGCTCACAATATTCCAAATGTGGCCTCATGCAGCTTCAGCAGTGCATCCCTGCTTTTGTATTCTAGCCCTCTGAAATGAATGTGAATATTGCATTTGCCTTCCAAACTGCCAATTGAACCTGCATGTTAACCTTAGGACAATCCTGAACTAGGACTCCCAGGTTTCTTTGTACTTCAGATCTCCAAAGGCTTTCTCATTTAGAAAACAGACCATGCCTCTATTCTTCCTACCAAAGTGCATAACCTCACACTTTCCCACATTGCATTCTATCTGCCACTTTGCTCATTCTCCTCGCCTGTCCAAGTCCTTCTGTAGTCTCTATGCTTTCTCAACACAACCTGCTCCTCCACCTATTGGGTCATCTGCAAACTTAGCAACAGTTCTTTTGTCTGGTGTATTCATATAAAAGTATGGATATTTATTTTAATTTGCATTAAAGTTGCTAAGGTTTTTCATCTTTCATAGAATTATAGAAATCTTCCTGTTACTTTTTTGTTACTTCAATGTTGACTCTCACACTGGGTACAATTCCAAAGAGCTCAGTTACCTTGATCAAGCATTTTTTTTCTCAGCCTCAACAGTGATGTCAGCAAAGATTACTGTACAGAGATCAGAAGCAAGAATACCGGTTGATATTTTCTTGTCTATCCATTCCCAATGGGATCAATTAACTTAGTTTGCAGATTGAATCTGGTTTCTCTCTGATTTATATAGTTCAGTCAGAACCACTTATTCAGCCTATGAATTCAGAATTACTAGTTAACTTTGTATTTTGGCTGTGTAAATTAGAAAAAAAAAACTTTCCAAATATATTCCCATTATAATAATTGAACTTACTAATGTGAACTGGTCATAGATTTGCATCAGGTCCTCCATTTTGTACTGTTCCAGCACTACAAAATTGTCAAGATTTCCATTGGCCTTACGAGCACAGTCCTGGCAGTGCACTATATAGGTTTTCCTTGAGTTACTCTCATTTGTGACAAAAAGCAGATCAAAAACTTCTACCTGTTGTATAGAAATAAATATGACACTATTACAACATAAATTCTCCTGCAATTAAAAAACAATTTTGTCATAATTTCTTTCACACATTCCAGATTGTAATCATTTCCATATGTTAATTTAATACAACCAACCCCACCCACCAAGCTTTTCTACAAGGCTTCATACTTTTAAAAAAAAAACTAAGTCTTGCAATGCCACTTGTATTCAACAAAATATAGACAATTTAGGAATTTTGCAGTTCAACAGGTTAAACATGCTGTCCTTCTGTCTCGGTTAGATCTCTCCCCAGTTCTTGAACTGTTAGGAGTAAGTTTCTCTGAGGCTCCTGAGTCTTTTGAACTTTCTTCTGGAAGAGAAGGTGGAACTAGAATCTTTGAAATCATTTTTTTTAAGGGCAGAGATGGAAGGATTCTTAATAAGCAAGCAGATGAAAGGTTATCAGGGATATGTGGGAATGTGGATTTGAAGTTACAATCAGATCACCTATTATCTCATTAAAAGGTAGAGCAACCGGAGTGCCAAATGGCCTACTTCTTGTTTGCATATTGTCCTTTCTGTGCTGAATCTTACATGACGAACAATCGCAACCCAGTTAGAATTCAGGATACTACAATACTAAAGCTTATTCTGGTTGCGAGGATAAAGTAAAAAACAAGCAATGTATGTACTGGTGGGACTGGAGTATGAATGATAACTGCACACATGGGCTTTTTCTCACTGGAAAATGGAAGGATGATAGATGATAGGACTGTTGTTTCTGAGGTTCTAGCACAGCAAAACATAATAACATTTTCATTGTGCCCAGAACAGGAAAGGGTATCACAGTGATACCAGCGTGGTCACATTACTGGATTGGCAATCCAGAGATGGACCTGAGAAATGAGCTCAAATTGCATCTTGTCATTTGGGGAATTTGAATTCAGTTAATTTCATTAATCTGGAAGAAAAAGTTAGCTACAGTGATGGTGGCCAAGACATTGTTGTAAAAATGATCTGGTTCATCAATGTCCTTTAGAGATGGAAATCTGCTGTTCTTACCTGGTCTGGCTGAAATAGGACTCCAGACCAACAGCAATGTGGTTTACTCTGATCAAGCCACAGCTTTGTCAAAATGTTAGAATGTCGTCGAAGTGGAAAATCAATGATACACCCATCATCAGTCTAACTGTTGGACACGAAGGCATGCACAGACCTGTCAAAACTGCAAAGTGTCCCACATACTAGCCAATCAACAACTTGATACTACTCAACCCTCAGAACCACTGGGCCCAATTTTAACTGTGAATGGTGTCTGAATGAGTTAAAATTTGTCCCAATTTGGTTTTCAGGCAATGTTCTAGAATCCTCCCGCAACTCCTGCTCACTACATATCCACTGACACTAGATGGCAGAATAATGGTTTGCAGTAAGGAAGGAATAACCATAGAGGACTCAGAATTGACTCCATGCAGTCTCATGGCATCAGATATTTTTAGTAAGATTAACGTTCATTGCAAAGGGGATTGGAGTTCAGAAGTAGGGATGTCTTATTGCAGTTATACAGGGCTTTGGTGAGATCACATCTGGAATACTGCAAGCTGTTTTAGTCTGTCCACCCAAGAATGAGAGTGCAATGTAAGTTCTCTAGGTTAATGCCGGGCATGGCAGGACTGCACTATGAGAAGACATTTGTGAATAAGGGCTCAGTCGAACTGGAGTCTAGAAGGCTGAGACAGGGTCTGACTGAACCAGGGTTACAATCTCAGGATATGGGGTAGGGCATTTAGGACTGACATGAGGAAAATTTGTGATGACGCTATGGCCGAAAGAGGTGCATTTTGTCCTTTTTTTAAACAAAGGGAGATTGAGATAAAGATGATGAGCGGTCTGCTCCTAGCCAATAAAGTAAACAGGTTGTGAGGCCTTGGGTTTTTTTTTTAAAATGTTGGAACAATATAAGCAGCATGAAGGGGTGGAGTCAAGCTCCCAAAGAATCAGAATTTTAGTTTAAATTTCAGTAGTTGATGGGATCTTCAAGTTGGATGTGGAAGCTGTCATTCCTCTCTGTGCTACAGCTAAAAGCTTGGATCTCTTTTCCTGCTGATAGAATTATATGCGAGACAATCTATTTTACTTAATTTGCCTTTGCCAAGAGTGTTTTAATGGAACGTTACTATATTGGACCAGTTGATGTTCAGAAATTATACAATCTGTTAAATCTATTGGAATACTTAACAGGATAAGTTATTCCAATTATTCGTTCTTTTGTTTGTATTTTACCTATACAATAAGAATAAAGTGCATTTTGGTAGGTGACCAATAAAATTGCTTCCGGGACACAATATCTTACACTTGTTTTTAGAAATAAGAAAAGGTTGGTGTCTAGGCTATTTCCTTGTTGTACCTGAAGGGGGTTTGGTCTGGTCCAAAACAAATTGTCTTCACTAAAAGTATAGTGAATCTGTGGAATTCTCTACCACAGAAGAGGAAGAAGGATGCTTATGTAAGGTTTAGGAAACAAGGAATGGAAAAGGCTCTAGAGGGATACAAGTTATCCAGGAAGGAACTGAAGAAAGGGCTTAGGAGAACTATAAGGGGGCATGAGAAAGCCTTGGCAGATAGGATCAAGGAAAACTACAAGGCTTTTTATACGTACGTGAGGAATAAGAGAATGACCAGAGAAAGGGTAGGGCCAATCAAGGATTGTAAAGGGAATTTGTGCACAGAGGCTAGAAAGAGATAGGAGAGGTCCTTAATGAATGCTTTTCTTCGGTATTCACAACTGAGAGGGACCTAGTTGCAGAGGAGGACAGTGTGAAACAGGCTGATAGGCTAGAGGAGGTCGACGTTAGTAAAGAAGATGCACTAGGAATTTTGAGGAACTTGAAGATCGATAAGTCCCCTGGGCCTGATGGGATTTATCCAAGGATTCTATGGGAAGCGAGGGAAGAGATCGCAGGGCCTTTGGCGATGATCTTTTCATCCTCACTGTCCACGGGTATAGTGCCGGAAGACTGGAGAGAGGCAAACATCATTCCCTTGTTCAAAAAAGGGAATAGGGATAACCCTGGAAATTACAGGACAATTAGTCTTACTTCAGTGGTGGGCAAATTATTGGAAAGAGCTCTGAGAGATAGGATTTATGATCACTTGGAAAGGCACAGTTTGATTCGTGACAGTCAGCATGGATTTGTGAGGGGTAGATCATGCCTCGCAAACCTTGTTAAATTCTTTGAAGAGGTGACCAAACACGTGGATGAAGGTAGAGCAGTGGACGTGGTATACATAAATTTAGGTAAGGCGTTTGATAAGGTTCCCCATGGTAGGCTCATGCAGAAGGTAAGGAGGCATGGGATAGGGGGAAAATGTGGCAGATTGGATTCAGAATTGGCTGACCCTTAGAAGACAAAGGATGGTAGTGGACGGAAAATATTCAACATGGTGCTCAGTTACGAATGGTGTACCATAAGGATCTGTTCTGGGTCCTCTTCCATTTGTGATTTTTGTAAATGATTTGGATGAAGGAGTGGAAGGGTGGATTAGTAAGTTCGCGGACGATACGAAGGTGGGTCGCGTTGTCGATAGTGTGGAGGGCTGTTCTAGGTTGCAAAGGGCCATTGATAGGATGTAGAGCTGGGCTGAGAAGTGGTAGATGGAGTTTAACCCTGAAAAGCGTGAGGTGATTCATTTTGAAGGTCAAATTTGAAAGCAGAATACAGGGTTAAGGGAAAGATTCTTGGCAGTGTGGAGGAGCAGAGGGATCTTGGGGTTCATGTCCACAGTTCCCTGAAAGCTGCCACCCAGTTGATAGAATTGTTAAGAAGGCGTATGGGGTGTTAGCTTTCATTAATAGAGGGATTGAGTTCAAGAGCCGTGAAGTTATGCTCCAGCTATACACAAGCTTGGTTCGGCCACATCTGGAGTATTGTGTCCAGTTCTGGTCGCCTCATTATAGGAAAGATGTGGAAGCGTTGGAATAGGTGCAGAGGAGATTTACCAGGACGTTGCCTGGAATGGAGGGAAGGTCTTACGAGGAAAGGTTGAGAGAGCTAGGCTTTTCTTTGGAACGACGATGGATGAGATGTGACTTGATAGAGGTGTACAAAATGATCAGAGGTATAGATAGAGTAGACAGCCAGAGACTTTTCCCTAGGGTGGAGGTAGCTATTACGAGGGGGCATAGTTTTAAAGTGAGTGGAGGTAGATATAGGGGAGACGTCAGAGGTAGGTTCTTTACTCAGTGGTCGGGGCGTGGAATGCATTGCTGGAGAGGGTAGTGAAGTCAGCCTCATTAGGGGCATTTAAACGGCTATTTGATAGGTATATGGATGATAGTATGAGGTAGGGGTGGAGGTTAGATAGACCTTCGGATTAGGGTAAAAGTTCGACACAACATCGTGGGCCGAAGGGCCTGTACTGTGCTATGTTCTAGAAGGCTGTGTAGGCCAAGTCACTGAATATATTAAGATAAGGTACATTTTTAGATTTTAAAAGCATCAAGGGGTATGAGTGTTAGAGGAAACGTGGCACTGAGATACAGGATCAACCATAATCCTATTGAATGGTAGAGAATAGGTTCAAAGGGCTAAATGGCCTACACTTGTTCCTTGTTTTTGTGATGTAACTTGAGCAAGGAAACTTGATTAACACTTGCTGCTTTCCTTCACCTGAAGAATCATTACTATGTTATGTGTCATAATCATCTAGCTTCATGATTAGAGGTAATTTTTAGTTTTAGGAATTAAGCATTAAATTTGAAATAAATGAAAACATCCAATTGAGAAACTGATAACTACCCTACTTTGAACACAAATCAAAAAATCTTCCTATTAATTTCCTTTGAAGGGTAACTAACATTTGTTTATCTTGTTTTACAAGATCAAACTTGGTGTGTGAAGGCACAACACACCTTTAAACTTATATGGAGCCAAAGATCTACCCTGACTTCAACAAAAGATTTGAATTGTTTACATCCCAGATGGAAAGGAGTTGAAAGGCAGTGGTAAACAAAACAGCTTGACAGGGCCAGCAATTCTGACAAAGGGCACCTCAAAATTCAAAATTTTCATGCGGGGTACTGAATCAAAGTAAAAATAGTTCTACTGAACCATCCTAAATCATGCCACATTGGCACAGTGAGAAGGTTGCTTTGTTTAATTTAACAAGATTTTTCTCCCAGAAGTTTGTCTTGATGGAGGCTACCGCTCATTCAGTTGGGAAAGCCAAAGAGCTACATGTTAGGTCTGTGTGTGGAGAAAAAAATTTATCATTCACTGCACTCGAGCTTAGTTGGGAATTCATGAGGAGGAATAGTCATCCAACTTAAAGCTAGAGGAAGAAATCTACAATGGCCTCACACTGAAAGGTAGGCAGTTAACCTTATGACAGAAGGCAGTCACAGCTTGATCACTTAGCTTGGCAAGAGCTATACGGAAGTTGTGGGAACAGACTAGGGAAAAAGTAGTTTATGTAGTTCCAACTCCGGGGCAAGGAGTGGAAGCCAGCAAAGTATTCAGGTTTCAAAGAGAATCTGGAGGATCACTTAGCCAAGCTAATGGAAGGATTCCCATGATTGTTCAATTATGGAGAAGACCTGAGACACCGAGGAGAAATCAAAGTAACTTCAGAGATGAAGGCATTTCTTCAGGTTTGTCCCAGGACAAGAGAACAAACTTTAAAAATTTTGTCAGGGAACTCATTTCATGAGGCAAGAAAAGGAGGAAGAGAGAAAATAATTTGTAGAACTTAGTCTATAAATCAAGTTGTTACAAACTAAAATGTCAAGATGGTGGTGCTCGCTTTGCTTAATTTCTCTTTACCTACAATAATGTTTAATTTTCTTTAAAAACAAAATCTTGGGGTATAATTTACTTGAGTTAATCACTGCGTATTCAAACTGCTATTTAAACATTAATGATCTCCACTGTGAATGCATCCTGTGGTGAATGTCACTTGAAGGTCCTGGACAATATGCAGTCGCAAGCTGATGAGTCACAGAAATATTCACACCACACAAATGCCAGGCAACATCTATCCCCACCGAGAGAGAGAGAATATTTAACAAGAGAGAATATTTAACAACCTCTAACATGACAGTCAATGGCACTACAATTACGGAAACCCTATCATCATACAAGTCTCCACTAAACTGAAATAAACTTGGAATAACTACATAAATATTGTGATTACAAGAGCATGTCAAAGGCTGGGAATTCTGCAGCAGGTAATTCACCCCAATTCCCTAATGCCTTACCATCTACAACTGCACTACTCGGGTGTAAAATCAAAACTCTCCACTCGCCTGGACAAATGCAGTCCGAACAGCGTTCAAAATGTTTGACAACATCCAGAACAAAGCAGCTGTTCGACTCGTCTCCAATTCTCTGCAACCTTCTAATGTTCACTCCAGTCACCACAAGACCACCACGGTTGAATGCATACCATCTACAAGATGTACTACATTAACTGAACAAAGGTCATTGACAGCACTTTTCAATCCTAGTACCTCTATCACCTACAAGGACCAGGGCAAGATCTGCAAAGAAACACTACCACTTGCAAGTTCCCTTCCAAGCTGCACAATTGTGACCCGTGGATATATTGATATTCTTCGACAGTTGCAGTGACATATTTCCAGACTTGCATCCTGTTGGAAAACATACATCATACAGACTACAACTCATCAACGCAATTAGGGATAGGCAATAAATGTTGACCACGAATTTGAGAAAAAAGGGCAGAGCTGCCATTCGAGTGGCTTTAAATTCATGATATCAAGCAGAAAGCATTCCTGAAAAGCAGGAGCCATCAGCAGGGGGGGAAAAAGGAAAAGTTAAAGCTGTTCTATCTTTGCAGTGATTACGAATTGCACTCTCCAGAGGATGGCTACCAATCAGTAGCCAAGCTCAGAAATGTCCGAACCTGCTGTCTCATGCTCAGGCAACATTTAATTTTGCAACTGTCCCTGGAATCCATACTCTGAAATCCATATGCTGTGTATGACCCCTCGTCACCTGGAAGCTCATATTCCAATACCACATCGCAACACATCGCACTGAGGTAAGCACGTTGTGCACCTGTGCATCCCAATTTACACTAGTTTGTTCCCATTCTGCTGTTACATTCAAAAGGCAAGAATCATGTTTTGTTCATTTTAAAACATTCAAAGAACTAAAAATACAAGTTGCCCCGAAAAGGTACAATTTTTTTTATCACTGCTCTATTTCGCCGAGCCTCTGTCTTGGCATAAGTGACAAAACAATGGTCCATTATCCAGCATAAGCACTCATTTAATGATCCAAATAATTTAAAATTAGTTTGGTGTTCATATCTAAGGCAAGATCATTAAAAAAAAAGGCACACTTTTGAAGTACTTTGTACAGGAATACTTATTTTTTAGTTGTCACTAATCCTACCAAGTTTAAAATTTAATAAGCCATTTTTAATCATATTCCCAATGAGCAGGATTTCTGTCATCATGCTCCTATTTCAGCAAACTTGCCAACTAAAACCAACCTTGACTGCATATTTCAGAAACTGTAAAAAATGATTACATTTTAAATTTTATACAAAACATGCTCACTTACAACCAGCTTCACAAAACTTTCAGTACATTTCTGTTGATGAGGATATGAAATGGACCAACAAAGAAAAATAGAACAGCATCACAATATGGTCAATAGTACTCGTAAATTAATGACAATTTAGGCGCCTCACAAACTAAGTTGCCATTACCTTCAACAGAAAGTTAAGTTTTACCGACCTCACAAATACTGCAGTAGTGTGCAGGCTCCTCCTTTGTGCGGCCATGCCATACAATCTCTTTGCCCGTGCTAATGAGAGTTTCTCTTAACGTCTGACATTGCTTGAGGGTTCTCAGCAAGCAGAATCTAAAGAAAGAGGCTTTTAATTTTAGCAAACTACTGTTTCATATTCATTGTCTTTTACATTGACATTCTCTCATACTTTGAGTGACAATCCCAGTGGATAATCCCAGGCGGTAATCAAATATCTTCATGGCCTCCAACAATCAGTGGCAACCAATAACAAGTGAAGCGCAGCTCCATGTCTAATCCTAATCCTTGCCAAAATTTTTCTCCCTTGCTGACAATTTCCCTCTGTTCAGTCATCTATTCAATGACTCATCCATGGCCACCAATCCCCATATCTGTAGTCAAGTGAAAATTTTGAGGGCTCTTGTGGTGCAGTACTGGTGACCCTAGATTGTAAAAACCTTTCAATTTTATTTAAACAAAACAATATTTTCTAATATTTAATGAAGTTCAACTAATTACAAGTCAAGAATGACCTGCAAGGTAGCTTAATTCTTTCCTCACCTTTTTATACTCAACAATGCTTCTCTTTCTACTTGACAAATATCCAAGGTTTCTTAACTTATATTTTACCAACATTCAGAGATAAATGAAAATTTGCAATCCAATATTTCAAAAATTTCCACAGTTTATCCAAGATGATTAAGGCTTAGGCGTTATCAATATGAGGCAAGTAAAGTCAAAAATCAATCCCCTGGAGAAAACTCCAGACCAAAACAATCCAAATCAAAACTGCATTAAGCATTCCTCACGCAGTTCAGACAAGGAAAAAGCAAGAGAGTGGTTTGTTTGTGAAATGAACTTCCAGAGGAAGTGGTGATGTGGGTACAGTTATAATGTTTGAAACATATTGGATAGACACGCGAATAAGAAATGTTTGAAGGGATACGGACCAAGTGCAGGCAGGGAAGACGAGTTTAGTTTGGGATTATGGTCGGCATGTTTCCATGCTGTACGTTTCTACGATTCTTTATAAATGACCAATCCCACTCCATTTATGAACATATTAGGCAAATAAGAAAATTCTTAATTATTTGAAGTTACAATATTGGAGAGGTTCTAACATTTCCAGTGTTGACTTAACACTTACTTGATCATTTCAAAAAGCTTGGGATCAGACACCTTGATATTACGTGCCATGTTCCAGGACAGATGGACCATGGGAACAATAGACTTCACGCTCTGTAGTTTATTCCATTCATATCGTTCCACTGCTAGTTTATATTGATTTGCTGTAGAGGAAACCATGAGTTTTTAACTTTAAAAATCAGTGTTCTAAGTGCTGCAGTAAAAGCTTTACTGGGCCCAGTAAAAAAGCAAATACTGTACAAATTGCCAAAAAGCTACTGAAAAAGCCTTTCTACAATTATACTATACTTCTGTGGTACAAATTGTGCTTTCCTCATTAACAAATTTATTTTGTCCTGTGAATGATCTAACTCTATCATCGTAAAGGCATCAATGCTATTTACTAGCTTAGTTAATGCAATAATAGTACCTGTCAGAGGACCGACATTCCAAGCAATGTTGTTGCACCACCCAATGGCCTGAACCCAATGCACTGTACCAGCATTTATCCATACCAAATCTCCGGGGCGCTGAATAAATCGATACACTGGCACATTGGCCTCATAAAGGTCCTCTAGGTTTGGCCACCATGAGCCCATCAAAAAATTAATGTTGTTCCTGATAAAAGAAATAACTGGTTTTGAAATCTATTCATAACATTTTCACAAATTCAAAGCTGCTTCATTACAATTAACATCCTTGTTAAAACTACAAGCACATTCATTTCTGCAATTTAAAACAGGCAGTTGAAAAATGCTAGGAATTTAGCAAACAAACACTCCTCTCTAAGGGCTTAAAGCAAAGCAATTCTAGCTGTGTGTGTTTGGTGATGGTGGAGGAACAGTAAACTTGGGGTAATTGGAAGAAAGACAGATCTGCATTTACATCACACTTTTTGTGACCACTAGATATCTCAAAGCACTTTGCAGGCAGTGAAGCATTTTTGAAGAATATTCACTGTTTTATGGTAGGAAATGCAACAACCATTTTGCAGGAAACTCTCACAAATAGTAGTGTGATAAGTACCAGCCTTTTTGTGATGTTAACTGAGAGATAAACGTTGGCTGAGACACTGGGGAAAACTTCTTCGACACAGTGTCATGGTATCTTTTACATCCATGTCAGATAACGGTGAGCACCTTGCTTTCACATTTCACCCAAAAGACGGTCCCCCAAAAGTACAGATAGAGGCCTTCCGGACCACTGAGTCTGCACTGACCCTGTGAAGACATCCCAACCACACCCATCCCTCAACTCTATCCCTGTAACCCCACATTTACCATGGCTAATCCACCTAGCCCTGAACATCTCTGGACACTACAGGGCAATTTAGCATGGCCTTCACATCTTTGGACTGTGCAAGGAAACCACAGCACCGGACAGAAACTTGATAAGGTTTTTTCAAGAAATGACAGATCAGCTGGATGGGTAAAATGCAACGAGCATGATATAAATGGACTTTCAGAATGTCTTTGACAAATACCCCAAAGTAGACTATACACCCTCGAAGTTGAAGCAGTACAGCAAATTACACGTTAAATAGTTTAGAAGAGAAAAAAAACAGAGCACAAGTTAAAACTTATTCCTCAGTGGTTTATAAATAGGTCATAGCGTTTCTAGGATTCTGTTTTGCAACAGCTTCTGTTCATTTCTGTATATCACTGATGTGGATATAGTGTCAGAGGAAGCACAGTCCAAATTTGTAGAGAGTTTGGCAAATGATTCTGAAGATCACAAGTTACAAGATGATACTAACACAGAGTGGTGGGCTAAAACATAGGAAATTAATTCAATCGTGGTGAATCCGAGGTAGTAAATTTTGATTTTAAGAAAATATATTTTGAAAGGCAGGAAACATAAAAATTAGAGAGGCCAAATTCTGGAACTTACTGCCCAAAACGGCAGTACAGGCAGAAAACTTATATTTAAAATATTCTTGGATATACAGCTGAAGTACCGTAAACTACTGGTTGTCAACCAAGAACTGGAAAGTAGAATTAGATGGATAGCTTTGGCCAGAACAGGCACAATTAGCTAAATGGCTTCCTCCAGTGCTGTAAATTTTCTATTTTGCTATGTCTCTACGTTAGACCAAGGTTGCATGGATGAGAGTATGTACAAGGGAGTTTTGTCAGCAGAGAGGAGAAACATTTTTAAAGATAGCTGTGTAGCTGTGGAATGTATTAACAGAGGTCATGATTGATGCATAGACATGCAACAATTAAGAATAGATTAGATAGGTGGCTGAAGGAAATGGGAACAATGAAATATGGAACAATGAAATAACACATTGTTATTTGTCAACAAGATTAGTTTTTTTTAAAGCCTTGTTCATACATTTGCTGATACGTTCTACAGGTATCTCATCTCTATCTCATGCCTGCTGTTAATACATAATAAAAAAAGACAACAATGCAATATGGTCTTCTACTTTTTGTGGGAAATAACTGCCTGAAGACTCTTGAATTTGAATCCCTTCTAACATTATTTTGCTGAGTTATAGTTAGTTACAGCATCACATCTTCCATATGCTTCATAGCAATTAACAAAACCAATATTTAACAATGTTAAAGCTGTTACTTCTATATAGCTGACATATTTAAAATAATTTGTAAATAGTATTTAACCGACCAGTATTATCCTGGAGACAACTCTGATTAATTTGATTTGAGGGAAACAGGTGTCTTTGTGTGGCATGACCCAGACAAAAGCATATTTGTTTGATCAAGCTGGCTGGCTATGTAATTTCTGCATTTTGAGCATTCAATAGGAGTACCATACAGAGAGGTACAGACAGTTTCAGAACATAAATCCTGTATGTTACCTTGCCTGGGCTCAGTACACATTTGCATCCAACATTTGATGTCCCTATTAAGGAAGCTGCCTGATTATCTATGTAAAGCAGATATTCCATAAGCCTAGAAAAACTGCTTAATTTCTAGATCCAGGACCTTCCTAAATTTATAATATTAGTTCTAATCAAACATAACCAGCTTAATTCAAATACACTTTTAAATGAGAACTTCAATGAGTTTATCATGAAACACAGTTGACTGACAGCTCAAACCACAGCCTTGAAGGAAACTCCATTAATTTTGATCTATTTTAATAGCTGTAAAGTTTTTGAGGTGATTCAAGATGGTGAAAAGGTGCTAAATAAGCTCATTTTACAAAATGATAATAGAGTGAGAAGACTCTGTCGCAAAGTTTTATTTAAGTAATTATTTAAGTTATTGCTCAAGTGATTTATGCTGTAAATAAAACTTAATGATGATGTGTATGCATTATGTTTTACTACTTGGTGTGCATTTTTACATTGATTAATGTGGGCCTCTTGATCAACCAGAATATTTGATCAACTGGTACACTCTGGTCCCATTGATGCTGGTTAATAAAAGGTTTGCTGCATTAATTGAGGCTGGGTTCAAATCCAGGTTTCAGAAATGAAAGATTGCTATCTCAGTCCTGTGCCAGCTAAATTGAAAATGTTTATATGGATCTTTAATTTTTTTTTTAAACAGGCTTGCTCAAAAAGACAGATTTTAAGCAGGTCTCAAAGGAGGAGAGGTGGAGAGGAGAGAATTTCAGATCTTAGGGCCTAGAGAGCTGAAGGCAGAGCCAATAATGGTGGTGATGGGGATGTGGAGCCACGAAAAGCCAGAGCTGGAGAAATGTATCTTGAGGATTGTAGCGCTGTAGAAGGTTATAAACATAGGAAGTGGTTGTAAAGAGATCATGAAGGAATCTGAATATCTCAACGAGAATTTGCTTGCCTGTGCAAGAGAAAGAACATGGAAATGATGAGTTAATTTGACCTGGTGTGGGCAAAGTTATGGACAGCAGAGTTTTGATTGAGTTCAAGTCTATAGCAATAGTTCAATAATGGATGGAGGGAATAGATGAATCTGCATCTAGCCAGTTCACGAACAAGCTTTTCAGCAACAGAAGAAAGAAGATAAAAGTGGAAAAGGGCAATGCCACAAAGATGGACATGGATGGTCTTTGAATAGCACAGGATAGTACAGAATAGAACAGAACAGGCTTTATTGTCACATATACTCAATGAATACAGTGAAAAGTTTGTAAGTCGCCAATTAGAGGGCTGCCTTAGATACAAAATGTACCTAGGCACAGCTTCTTTAGTTACAAAATTTAGACAAGACAAAAATAAAATGTCCAGCATTATGGAAAAAAAAGTTTAGTACAGCAGACCATGCGAGCACCTAGCTTCCAGTCCGGACCAGGCCCTGGCTCCACACTGCTCCGGCAACATGCCGCGCTGGGAGGCCACTGCACCAGGTCATGAGGTCACCACACCAGCACTGGGAGGCTGCTGCGCCAGGTTGGGGAATGCTAGCGGAAGCTGGGAGTCGAAGAGAAAAACAAAAGAGAGAAAAAGGAGAGCACTGGGAGAAAGAAAAAATAGAAGAAAAGGAAGAAAAGAAGAAGAACAGGCGGAGCGGATGAGCTCCGGCTACAGCGCCCTACTCCGCCACCATCTTGCTCCATTTGTGAAAAAGATATAATATTGAAGCTGTGGTGGGTCAAGAGGCGCTAGATCAATCCCCACCATTTTGCTGCAAGGAAAATTCAGCATCACTATACTCTATTTTCTTCGTGGGATCTTAAATTGCTCTTTGGAAAGGACAAACTATTTAGGCTTTAATGCCACATGCTCACATTATGATTATTGACATGTTTTTCTCATACCTTTTCATATGATTTTAAAATACATCTCCTTAACAAAAATATGCTTATTGGCAAAACATTCTTACTTTTCACAGAAGTCATTCATGACTGCCCAGTACGACTCAGGTACAGCAAACCATTCACAATCTCCAGGACCTATATTAATATTAACAGAGCAGAAATTGTTGTTTTCTTGATGACCTGTAAATAAAAGCAAAAGAGTGAAGAGTAGCTAAAAATGAAAATTCAAATGCATTGATCAAGTTGCCATTTAAGTATTTTTGCTCAGTATTTTGTGATCTGTCAAATTAAACAATAAATTGCAAAATAAAAAAAATACAGCCTTAGTTCATAGTTTCTTATCATTTCAATTCATATCCATCTCATGTCAAATTAATCCTTACAAGTTTGTGCTATTTATTCTCTACACTGAATGCAGTTTAATCTCAGACACCCAAGTTATTCTACTCCATACTTGCAAAACCTAGCTGTTTTATCTATCATAGCTGGCATGTGAGATCCCCCCATATTTCCTACATATCTATAAGCATCACTGCTAACCCAGTTAATGCGTCTGTTGCCACATACTGAGGCATATTACTATCTTTCTTAAGAAAGCAACATTCATTATTGTGAATCTGTAAATTATTCTGAAGATGGTATCAGTTATCAGTATCTTAAAACTCTTAGCGGGGTTCATTTAACTCTAATAATGTCAAATATTAAACAGTTTTCTAAACCTAAGCTCCTAAATGTTTCAACAGTTGGGAGTTCAATTAGAACATTTGATAAGTGGTAGTTCATTACAGGAGAATAACATCAAGCAAAAACTTCAGATTTTAATCAGTGAAACTCAAGTGGTTTGTTAATTTTCCAAATTGAGACTAAATTATTGTTTGCATTCTGTTACATGTCCAGCTTTTAAACAAAGAAATTGCATGGTTCTAAGAACCATAGCTTCCTCCTGAGTTTTCAAATAGGTCATTATGTAATACTTTTTCTAACCAACTCCCAAAGGACTGCACAGTGCTTTGTATATTTTGATAACATTTCATTGTGAAATTCAATGTCTGCCACCACCTGCACATAACCACTGTATGGGGGCAAGCTCTGCGTATCATCACTGCCCAGGACCTGACCTCTGTTGGGTTCCAAGAGTTAATGCCAGATGCAGAGCAAACGACCAACTGGACTGCCAACACGCTGCAAAAGGAAGAAGGGTGATTAGAAGCCACAGATCTTCGCTTCATTACCACTCTTCCGTGCTCAATGAAAACAAACAAAAAAGTATAAAACTGCTTTAGCTACAAAATAAATGTTAAATTATTTCTCTACTTTTCTGATACTTCCATAATGCAGACAGTAAAGGATATGCTGAAAATCCCCTGCAACCCAAACTCACTAAGAGTAGGATATATTTAATTATTTAATAGCAGGTTTGTGGACCCCATGCCGTTGCTTGTCCACGTCTGTTCTTTATTGTTTAGTTGTCAATTTGCACACCACACTTTAGAGACTAGTGTTATTTTAGTGAATTTCTTCAGGAGGAAATATATAAAGCCACAGTATGTCTCTCTCTATTCATTCTCTATAATTAAATACATTGTTTTCATTCCGAACAATTCTGGAATATTGCCACTTTCAGGTTTTTATTGTCAAAACCTGACATTTTGTTTTACCCTTCAATTTGGACTTCCTCCTTGTTCTTCATCCAAGATCAGCAAACTAGACAATCTAATAATTTACTATAGTTCAGTTTTTGGGAACTAGTCTTGAGCAAAACGGCCTCTGCATTTCTACATTACAACAGTGACTACTTAATGGGCTGTAAGGTGGTGATGAAACGTGCTATAAAAGTGCAAGTTCTTTTCTGTAGTAGAAAAAGTAGGAGTAGGGGTAAGCCACTTGGCCTTTTGAGCCTGCTCTGCCATTCAACATGATCGCGGCTGATCTCCATCTCAACATCATATTCTGGCTTTCTCTCCTTTGATGTCTTTAAAATCTAAAACAAAATCGTTCTTGAAAATATTCAGTGACTTGGTCTTCATAGCCTTATGTAGAAGAGAATTGCATAGGTTCATTTCCCTTCGAGCTTTTCCTTATTTCAGTCAGAGCCATGCAGCACAGAAACCAATCCTTCAGTCCAACTCATCCATGCTGACCAAGTTTCCCAAATTAAACTAGTCCCACTTGGCTGCATTTGGCCCATATCCCTCTAAACCTTTCCTATTCATGTACCTGCCCAAATGTCTTTTAAGTGGTGTAACTGCACCTGCATCTACCACTTCTTCTGGCAGTTCATTCCACATAAGAATGTGTGAAAAGGTTGCCACTTGGGTCCCTTTTAAATCTTTCTCCTCTCACTTAAAAAAAAAATACATGCCCTAGTTTTGAACTTCCCCACCCTAGGGAAAAGATCTTTGCTATTCACCTTACCTATGCCCCTCATGATTTTATAAACCTCCATAAGGTCACCTCTTAACCTCCTACACTTCAGTGAAAGAAGTAAACCCTCCAATCCCAGCAACATCCTGGTAAATCTTTTCTGACCCCTCTCCAATTATAATATCCTGAGACTAGGACTCTTAACTAGGCTCTCCAGCCAAGGGAAGCAACCTCTTACTATCTAATTAACTGCATTCACTTAGTTCTGTTTTTACAATTCGCAATCCCATGGTCTATCCTATATCCTGATACTGTGACCCTGCTTCTAGACTACCCAACCAGGGCAAACATCCTCCTTGCAGTCTGTCCAGTCCTGTTATAATTTTATATTTCTCAATCAGATCCCTTCACGTTCTTCTAAACTCTTGTGAATTGAATCAATCTCTCCTCATAGTGTAGTTCTGCCATCCTACTGAACCTATGCTGCACCTCCTCTATTGCAAGTACATCCTCTTGTACGTAGAGACGCCAAAACTGCACTCAATAGCCCAGGCGTGGTGTCACTAAATAAACAGGACATCCTTACCTGCCCACTTGAACCATCTTGTAATATATTATTTGCCTACTTAATTGCTTGCTGCACCTGCCTATTTTCACTGACTGGTACACATCCATATTTCCCAATATACCGCAATTTACTTAATACTCTTCCTTTCTGTTTTTCACACCAAAGTGTATACTTTGTGTATACATTTAGCCACATTGTGCCGTGTTTTGCCCACTTGTTTAACTTGAAGCCTCTGCATCCTCTTCACAAACCCTACCAAGCTTTCTGATGTCAGCAAACTTAAAAACGTTGTACTTGGCTCCCTTACCCTGGATATTTATGTATATTGCAAATAGCTGAAGGTCAAACACTGATCCTTGTGATAATCTATTAGTCACTGTCATCTATTTGAGAAAAGACCCATTTCCCCTCATTCTATTTCCTGTCTGTCTACCAATTTGGAATCCATGCCAATATATTGACCCATAGCATATGTTTTAACTTAGCCCACTAACTTCTTATGAGGGCCCTTATTAAGTCTTTTGAAAATCAAAATACACCACATCGCTGGTTCTCCCTCACCTATTCTTAGTTACATCCTCAAACTACAGTAGATTTGTTAAGCATGATTTGCCTTTTATAACCCAATCCTGGCTTGTCCAATCCTGTTAATTTTCTGTTATCATATCAGTTATAATGGGCTTTAGCACTTTCCCACACTGCTGATGTTGGGAATAACTGGTCTGTAATTCTGTTCTCTCTCCCTTCCAACCCTCCTAAGCCTCCAATCTGGATAAACTGTTCCAGTCTACAGAATTTTGAAAGACGACCATCAATGCGTCTAGTATTTCCAGGGCCGCTTTCTTTAGTGCTCTGGTATATAGATCATCAGACCCTGGTGATTTATCAACCTTTAATTTACCCAGCACCATTTTCTATCAAATTCTGATTTCCTTCAATTCTGCAAACTCAGGAGACCCTTGGTTCCTTAACATTCCCAAGAGACTACTTGTGGCCACTTTTGTGAAGTGAGAACCAAAGTACGCAAGTTCCGAGGAGTAGTCATACTGGATGTGAAATGTTAACTGTTTTTCTCCTGCATAGATACTGTAGCATTCTCCGCTCGATCCCCAGTATAATTTCCCTGATTTCCAACTCTAAGGAACCTAACTTGTCTTTATTAATCTTTTACTTTTCTACGCTCTCTACAATTTTATTCTCATACTCCACCTTCCCCACTTCAATCAACTTTTTTTGCTCTCAATCGCCAGGCTTGCTACTTTTTCTTGCAATTTTGTATGTCATCTCCTTGGATCTACTACTATCCCTAAATGCTTTTCTCAGCCATGACTGACCCACCTTTCCTCTTTTAGTTTTGCACCAGACAGGAATAATTGTTGTTTAAGGAAAATGTGTACGAATTACATGAACCATTGCCTATTCACCACCAAAGTTCTCTAATTTATCCTTGTCAATTCGCACCTCATACCCTCAAAGTTCTCTTTGTTTAGATTCAGGATCTTAATTTCGCATTCAGCTACATCACTCTCCATCTTAATGTAGAATTCCATCATATTACAGTCACTCTTCGTTAAAGGATTAGACACAAAGATGGCAAATTACTAATTTCTCATTGTATAGTACAGAGTCCAGAATAGCCTGTTCTGTGGTTGGCTCCTTAGTGTATTGGTCTTTAAAAAAAAAGCAGCACGTACACACTCCAGGAAATCCTCTCCCACAACACCATTGCTAGCTTTGTTTATCCAATCTAAACGTAAAATAAAATTTCCTATGATTGCAGTTGTGCCCTTTTTCCACGTAGCTCTGATTTCATTTCTAGTGCTTTTTCTTACAACTCCACTACTGTTTGGGGGCCTACAGACAACCCTCAACAATGGTTTCTGCCACTTGGTGTTTATAATCTCCACTCATACAAGTTTTGCATCAAGATTTTCCAAGTCAATACCCCGCTTCACCATTTAATTAACTCCTTCACTAATCAGACTATCTCACCTCCTTACCTTGTTATCCTTCCTAAATAACAATTACGTATTTAGTCTCATATGTAGACACCCTGCAGCCTTGTCTCTGTAAATGAAACTTTATTACAATCAATAATATCAATTTGTGCAGCTAACGTATTGACCTTATTGCAAATGTCCCATGCATTAAAGGCACAGCCTTTGTGTTCGTGGCAGATAGCACAGAAACAGGCCTTTCGGCACCATTCGTACATGCTGACCAGGTTTCCTAAACTGTTCTAGCCCCA